TTCAAAAGTAACATTTTCTAATGTGTTTAATAATTGATGCCCAATTAACATTTTAAAGAGATAAAGGGGGCTATAATGAGTAAATTTGACATTAATAAATATAACAAATATAAAAAAAATTTAGAAGACATAAATAAAAAGCTAATTAACTACGAAAATATCGATCGTCCATTGCCTTCAGATCCTTCAATTAGAAATAAAAGAATTGAAGAATACAAAACCGAATTGGTGGGGGCATTTAATAACTACATTACTTATATTAAACAATATATTAAAACTTTTGACACGGCGAAACAATATGAATATGCAAGGACGATTGGTAATCTCAAGTTACGCGTATTAAGAGCATTAAAAGCGATAGGATTATCGTTGGATTTACCAACAGATTTAAATAAAATCGATATTGAAACCATAGGCAATATTGATACAGTTTTTAATGAATCAGCAAATACTGAAATTTTAGTAAGATCAGAGGATTTATCTCGAAACACTACACTATTGACGGACGCAGATGGCGCTGTCGGTGGTGAAAATTTAAATACGGACACACAGAATGTAGGTGACGATACAAATGACACACAACTACATGGTACAGCGAATCCTCAAGAGACGCAAGCCCAAATCAATGATTTCAGATTTCCTCAAGATATTGTAAATGAAAGAAATACAGCGAATGATAATATCCCAAATAACAATAATAACGATAATATTCCGACTCAAGAACGTAATACACAGCAACAAATTGTAAATACAAATCCAGTGAATAATAAAAATATTCAGGTAACAGAAAATGACATTTATTTAGACACGGTTAGAAATTTATTTCATAGTGTGGAATCCCTTAATAACCGGGATCCATTTAAAGTTCATAATAACATATTTGTACCAGAGCATAACGATCAGCGTGTTCCAAATAGACATAATTTACGTCGAGAAAGAACGAGAAACAGAGCAAATATGTCGGATAACGAAGAAAATAATGATGGAGACGGTCTCCGTGAGTTAAACATAGCCAGCAGAACTATCACGACTACATACAATGGAGAGGTAAAGTCACTTAGTCGCTTTATAGCTGCAATTAAGCTGGCAGATAAATTGATAAGAGACAAAGATCTTCTCATCAACTATATTTTGACCAAACTTGAAGATAAGGCACAGGAAGTCGTACCGATTGAACCCGAAAGTGTACAAGCAATTATAGATGCGCTGAAAGCAGGCATTAAACCGAAGCCATCAGAAGAGCTTGAAGCAGATATTTTGGCGTTAAAACTGGATAAAATGAATATACGTACATTTACAAAGCGCGGTGAAGAAATTGCCAACGATTATAAACGAGCACTGATTTACGAAGGTTTTTCAGAGGCAAAGGCTAAAGAGCAATCAATAAAGAAAGTAAAGGAAATGTGCAGAAAACAGACGCCGATTTCGTACGTAAAATCAGTTATACAATCAACGAACTATAGCACACCAGGAGAAGTGATGTCAGCGCTGGTGGTTGAGCTAAATAACGCAAAACAAGATAAACGCGACATTCAAGACAAAGATAATAAAAACAACAAAAAATCGAATAATTATCGTGGAAATTCTCGTGGAAATAGGGGAAATTATCGCGGTGGACATGGTTCCAACAACGGACAAAATAACAACAATAATGACAATAGCAACGGCAATGGCCATTATCAGAAAAACTTTAGAGGAGGATACCGTGGCAGAGGTCGCGGAGGTCATGGTGGTAATGGCAGAGGTGGAAGTAATTACGGCGGTGGAAACTACGGCGGTGAAAACCACGTACGTTATTTTTCGGGAAACCGTCAGAGCCCGTCGAACGACGGGCAATACCAACACCAAATGCACCAAATGCACCAAATGCAACAACAACAACAACAACAACCACAGCAAATACAACATTTCCAATAGAACTAATTTTGAACATAAATTCAACATTGTCAGATTTCGTAACTATAAAAATTAATGATAATAAAAGACATACAATTTTTTTGGTTGACACAGAAGCTACGGTCTCACTGATCAAAATATCGGAAATCAACAAAAATATAACAGTAAACAACAACGAAATTATTTCATTAAAGGGCATAACCCAGGAGCCTTCTTTAACTTTGGGATCTGTAATTTTAAATTTAATAATAAAAAATCAAATATTTTCACACAAATTCCATATCGTGCCAACAACTTTTCCAATTCCTTCACATGGCATAATAGGAAAAGATTTCATTAAATTCAATAGATGTCTAATTAATTATGGAGATATGATATTGACAGTCAAATACAACACTTCAGATTCTGTAGAAATACCGATCCACTCCGAAATATTACCGGGATTGGCAACGATATCACCAAGACAAGAGGTGTTCAGAATATTCCACATAAAAAGTGAAAAATTTCCATGTGTGGTTGAATCACAAGAGATAGCTGACGAGGTTTTAACAGCAACTACGATAGCTTATGAGCCTGATACATATATCAGAGTATTAAATACAGCCGAATATATAAAATTTATAGATACAAACAGTTTGAAAGCAACTAAACTGGAGGATTACGACATTTTGCAAACTATTGATATAAAAAATGACCATAAATCTATGAGATCAGAGGAATTACGAAAAAGCATAATAAGAAAATGTCCGGGTCATGCAAGAAAACGAATGTTAGAACTGTGCAAAGAATACAGTGATATTTTCTATTTAGAAGGTGACATGTCAACGGTAAATAATTTTTATGAACAAAGATTGCATTTGACAGACAATGAGCCTGTCTACACTAGAAATTATAGATTACCGCATGCACAAAAAAAGGAGATTTCACGACAAGTAAAATTACTTTTAGAAAATGATCTAATTGAAGCGAGCACATCCGCTTACAACTCTCCGATAATAGTTGTACCGAAAAAGAGCCAAGATGGCACACCAAAATATCGGATGTGTATAGACTTTCGAAAATTAAATAAAAAGATCATACCCGACAAATTCCCATTGCCTAGGATAGAAGAAATCCTCGAGGGGCTTGGGAGAGCAAAATATTTTTCAATAATGGATCTCCATTCGGGATACCATCAAATACCGCTCGAAAAATCGAACAGACATGTAACGGCGTTCTCCACCGAAAATGGATTTTATCAATGGAAAGTTTTGCCGTTTGGCATAAACATAGCGCCAGCTTCGTTCAGCCGCATGATGACAATAGCGTTTAGCGGTTTGTCGCCTGAACAAGCATTCATTTACATGGATGATTTAATAGTGATTGGTTTTTCGGAAAACCAACATTATAACAATATAAAGAGAGTGTTTGAATTGTGTAGAAAAAACAATTTAAAATTAAATCCTGACAAATGTGATTTTTTCAGAAGCGAAGTCACTTTTCTCGGTCATTTGTGTACGTCAGAGGGTTTAAAACCAGACCCAAAGAAACTGGCTACGGTACACTCATACCCAAGACCGATGAACAAAAGTGAAATAAAAAGATTTGTAGCTTTTGGCAACTATTATCGAAGATTCGTCAGAAATTTCTCAAACATAACTCTACCATTGACAAAATTACTACGAAAACGCGCAATATACAAATGGACCGACGAATGCGAAAGTGCATTTCAAACGATAAAACACGAATTGACTTCAACTCCTATCTTAGCGTACCCCGATTTTACAAAAGAATTCAGGGTAACAGTGGACGCTAGTGAAATTGGCTGCGGCGCTGTTCTCAGTCAAATACAAGATGATGGGAGTGATCGCCCCATCATGTTTATTTCACGCACATTTAAGAAGGGTGAATTGAACAAACATATAATTGAGAAAGAACTCCTTGCAGTTCATTTCGCAATTAAAACATTCAGACCGTATTTATATGGTCAACGATTTACGGTATTCTCAGATCATAAACCGTTAATCTATTTGTACAAATTAAAAAATCCATCATCAAAATTAATGAGAATCAAAATGGACTTAGAAGAGTATGATTTTGTAATTGAGCACATCAAAGGAAAAGATAACGTTGTAGCGGACGCGCTATCGCGTATATCTATAAAGGATTTATTCAATTTTTACGAAACACATCATGTATTCAAAATCGACTATGAGGGGGTCACACAAATTAAAACACAAAAACCACAGAAAAATAAACATATTCGTGAAGAAAACAAAATATTGGCCATCACAAGATCAATGGCTCAAAACACAGACAATATAATAATAGAACAACAAGAAAATGAAATCGATAGAATCGAAACCAAATCCGTCAAAGTACACGACGATTGTGGTATATCAAAAAATAAGTTGGCAACAATTAGAACAACAAATATAAAAATGGAAAATAATATATTCCAAAATATGGAGCTCACATTGTATAAGAGCCATAGAAAAATCGACTGCATTAAAATAAAGCAAGGCAACGAAAAATTAACATTAAACGTAATTCTTTCGCAAATTGAAGCCTTAGCAATTAAAAATAATATTGAAAACATCGCATGGCCAACATATGACAAATTTTTTGAATTATGCGCGATATCAGTATTTAAGCAACGTTGTAATGAAACATTAAAAAAAGTGCACATATACCTCAAGAGAGGTCAGCAGCGATTAACGCAAGCTTCAGAAATTGAAGAAGTGTTGCAAAGATATCACAACGATCCACTTTACGGTGGACATTGTGGACAAAAAAAATTGTATGCCAAACTACGCGAAAATTTCTATTGGAATCGA